GGGAGAGAGAGAGAGAGAGAGAGAGAGAGAGAGAATACATATATAAGTACTACATAATAACAAAATATATAATAATTCTTATAATAATTCTCCTGTATTTCATTTTTATGCTTTCTACATTTGAGTCTCATATCTATAAGTACGAAGGGCAGCCTTTATTTGATTTCAATGGATATTAATGCATAAATAAACCTGTCAGAAAAAAAAAAATCTATCTTTCCCCCAATGGAACTTTTTGCTCAAACTCAGCGTCAGGGTTCCGATGGATGCTCTAATAATTAAACCATGAGCCTCGAGCCAAGTTTCCAAAGAAATCCAGTTATTTATTAGGAGCAACATGTCAGCGGGCACCCAAATGAAGTCAGCGCTGCCTGACATAATTTACAGCCCACCTATGACCCTGTTTCCACACACAAACCCAGGACGCGTCATAAATCACATTCTCCAACGGAGCCCTTTCCCAGGCTGTAGAAATGACACCTCTCCGGTTGGTCCCCGGTAGCCTGGGATACAACCTGGGGGAAGTTATGTGTGGAATGTGCTTCTGGTTAGGTAGCTGCCAGGCTGCTCCATCAGTTTCCCATCCTGCTTATATGGCGACTCGAGAGTAGGCTGAGAACGCTTTACAAGTTGACACTCAGTGCATTTATGTCTATACTGCTGCACCAACAACCTGCGTGTTTTACTAGTGCTTGGCTTAAGACCAGGTTACCTGAAGGACCAGTTTCCACCACCCCCGCCCAGTTACATCTACCTAAACCCACCAGAGCAGAGAGCCAGGGGATGTTAGGGCTTCCCTCTCTTAAAGAGGTCCATCTGGCGGGATCCAGAAGAAGGGCCTTCTTCAGGATGGCTCCCTCCTGATGGAACAACCTCCCAGCAGAGAGCGGGCCTCACTTTGACATGCTTTCTCAAGGCCCTGAAGAGGTGGCCAATGGGCCTGGAGACCCCATGGGGACACACAGAGCCCATCCAATGGTTGGTTGGATTGTCGTCACCAGGAGATTGGGAGTTCACTGAGTTTGGTGGTGGCGCTTTATTTTTGTGCTCATCGTGAGGGAGTTGGGTGGCCCTATAAATGTTCTTAATAAATAAACATTTAAAAAGAAGCAATGGATCAAAGGAGAGAATCGAGCTAGAAGTAAAGAGACATTTCATGACAGTGGAAACGATTGATCAGCGGGACGGTGTGCCTCCAGAAATTGTGGGCGTTCCATCCCTGGAAGTTTTCAAGAGGACATTTGGAGAGCTATCGGTCTGAAATGGTAGAAGGCTTCCTGCTCGAGAAGGGGATTGATCTAGATGACCTCCAAGGGCCCTTCCAACTCTGTTATTCTTCCTTCCTTCCTTCCTTCCTTCCTTCCTTCCTTCCTTCCTTCCTTCCTTCCTTCCTTCCTTCCCTCCTTCCTTTCTTCCTTCCCCCTGGAGGTTTTTCAGAAGAGGCTGGATGGACACCCATCGGTCTGGAATGGCCTTGGGTTTCCTGCTTGAGCAGAGGGTTGGACTAGAAGACCTCCAAGGTCCCTTCCGACTCTGTTATTCTGTTTCAAAAAATAGACAGGAACGCACGTGCGTCCCAGGACATCTAGCGTAGCCGAGTCATTTGAGAGATGCCCCCAAAAAAGGTGTCCTATGGCTGTTGCAAGCTGCCTCAAGATTCTGGAGAAGAGTGTGATCATTAAGATGATGACAAATGAGAATAAACTCAAGCAGCCCGATGACGAGAAGGACTTTGCAGGTGTATTTATCACGGGCAAAGCTGACACGCTCCTCTCCTGGGATGCCCCTGTTGGAATCTGAGTCGGAGGGGGAGGCCGAGCAGCTGACAGGGAGTGGGAGTGTAGCTCCTTTGGCTGTGGAGGAAACTGGGGAAGGGCAAAGTCCGGCTGGGCTGAGCAGGGGAGAGGGAGAACCAGGGAGAGGGAGTTCAGAGGACGATCCGAGCCCACGACCTCTTCGTCCTAGGGCACGCAGGGAGGAACGAAGAAGGGAGCAATGTGGGTTGCCTGGCTTACGGGGGAGGAAAGGGCCCTGATTCCCTTCATTGGCTGCAGCTGGGAACACAAGTGTATAAAAAGGGAGTTTGCACGCAGCAGCTTGCTGGGAGCCAATCATGTATTATCTTGTTTTGTCGAGGCTTATCTGGGTTCCTGGCCTCTTCCCAACAGCGTGTGTTTTGTCGGCCTTTGAAGCCTGCAATTCCTTCTCCTTCTCCTGCCCTGTCCAATTAATTGCCGCAGCGTGGTTTGTGCGGATTTTTATTTACAGTTCATACGCGCTTTGTTTTCGGACTGAATTTTCTCCACTCAAAGGCTGTTCCTGGGAGAGAGAAAAAATTCTCCAAGCCGAAGGGAACTGGACATTGGGGTCAAAGTTGGAGGCATTAAAGGGACTTTTCTTACTTATGTGACTGCGTTGCCTTTGTGCCACGACCCTTGGGGTCATCACGTCTCCTTTTTCATTTACTAGAAACCGCCCGCCCCTCTTCAGCCTTTCACGAAATGGAGACTTGCAACTTCACGGGTGGTTCAGTCGCATCCTTCTGGCTTGTCGGCTTCCCCAGCCTTCAGGACCACCAGTTCTGCCTCTTTTTCATCCTCCTCATCTTCTATCTTCTATCATCCTTTCTAGCAACGTCACCGTCATCGTGGCCGTGGCCACCGACCCCAAACTCCACAAGCCCACGTCCTTCTTCCTGACCAATCTTTCCATCCTGGGCATCCTGCTGACCACCATCCCTATCCCCCGAATGCTGGCCCTGTTCTTGATCAAGGCCAAGTCAGTCTCCTCTAAGGCAGTGGCCCCCAACCCTTTTTTTGAACCAGGGACCGGTTTCACGATTATTTATTCTTCCACGGACCGGTACCTGAGTAACACGAGACTCCACCACCGTTGGGACGGCTCTTCGTTCGAAGCTGCCACCCCCTCTTCGACAAAACTAAGGCACGAGCACCCAAACGCCGCTTTCCAACCGAAAATCCGGAAGCAACCGAAAACCCGGAAGCGCCGTCGAAACAAGATGGCGGCGCCCAAGCTTTGCGGCCCGGTAAAAAAAAAATCCACGGACCAGTATCGGTCCGGGGACCGGTGGTTGGGGACCCCTGCTCTAAGGGATGCTTCTTGCGGATGTATTTCTTTCACGGGCTCACAGTGACGGAGACCTTTCTCCTCGTGGTGATGTCTGCCACCCCTTGCACTATGCCGCCCGAAGGACCAAGCAGAAGAAGCTACGGCTGGTTGCGGGAGCTTGGTTCTCTGCACTGCTGGTCCCCATCCAACCGGTCGTCCAGTCATCTCAGCTGACCTTCGGCAAGACACCCAAGGTCAACCGCTGCTTCTGCGACCACTTGGCGGCGGTCCAGGCTGCTTGCCAAAACACCTACACCATGTTCCAGACTTTTCTGGGTTTTACCATTTCTATGACCGTCGCCTTCAGTCCGCTGCTGCTTGTGGTCATCTCCTACGCCTGCATCACGGTCTCGGTCTTGCAGATCAAGTCCAAGGAAGGCCACAGGAGGACCTTCTCCACTTGCTTTTCCCATCTGGTGGCGGTCATCACGTACTATTTCTCCATTGCTCTGGCCTTTCTCGCCTACCGCATCAAGATGCTCAACGAAATCCACATTCTGAGCGACATGACCTTTGCCATTTTAACTCCTGTGGTCAACCCTCTCATTGACACCCTGAAGAACAGGGACATCAAGAGGGCAGTGAGACAGCTGGCATCCTCAAAGGTCTTCTCCATGCAAAAAGAGAGACTCCGTTTAGACCAAGTGAGGTCCAAGGAGATATTTTAATTAATGTGGGTTTTCTATTAGTGGAGCCCTTTAATTTAAATTCTATTTCTGCAGACCAAATTACATTCACTCCAGGACTTTGTTGCTGTTTTTTGTGCCTGCGGTGCTGTATTTGCCTGATAGGGAATCATAATTTCAGCCAGATATTATTTGTGAATCGAAAAGAATTGTTTTATATTTGATAATAAGCCTAAAATTGAAGACAGAGCCGTCAGGATAAAACTCCTGTAAGAATCTGGGCATTGCAGTTAGAAAAAAGTCAAGCACGGACAAATTTTAAAAAGTGATTAATAAAGAATGCATCCAAAGAATCATAGGGACCTTGGAGGTCTTCTAGTCCAACCCCTTGCTCAAACAAGAGACCCTATACCAGTTGACATCAATGGTTGTCTAATCTCTTCTTGAAAACCTGCAGGGTTGAAGCACCCACAACTTCTGGAGGGAAATCATTCCAAATGTTCTCGCTATCAGAAGACTTCTCCTTATTTCTAGGTTCCTTCTCTTCTTCTTTGGTTTCCATCCATTGCTTCTTCTCCAGCCTTCAGGTGCTTTGGAGAATACATTAATCCACTCCTCTTCTTTGTGGCAGCCCCTCAAATATTGGAAGACTGCTATCATGTCAGTCCCCTGGCTTGGTCCTTCTCTTCATTAAAGCAGACAATTCCTGCAACTGTTCGTCATGTGGTTTAGCCTCCAGAGAACTAAATGAGAACTAAAGACAACATTTAAGGGTGGAAATACCCTCAGAAGCATCAATTCCTGGACTGGACTCGTGATTCAATGCACGGCTTGAATTATTAACTGAATACAAGCTGAACTGGACAGACTGACTCGAGAGACAAAAAGTTAATTACTATTTGCTATGGAGATGGCCATTTTAGTTTGGTTCCTGATAGACGGCACCTTTGAGACAATCAAAATAGTCAGCCAAGAATAATATGTTGGACTTACTGGAATTCTTGGGTTTAGGAAAGAAATGGACCGAGCCTTTCATTATTGGAGAAGCACCGAGAAGAATTCTTCATTAAAACGTATTTTTGCACCCTCCTAAAGTTATTGTGTTCTTGGAAGAATTGATTATACATGTCATGCCTCTGTCGGAGTCTGAATCCAAGGAGGAAGATGAACAGCTGACAGGGAGTGGGAGTGTGGCTCCATTGGCTGTGGGGGGAACTGGGGAAGGGTAAAGGCCGGCTGGGCAGAGCAGGGGAGAGGTAGAACAAGGGTGATGGAGTTCAGAGGAAGAGCCAGGCCCACCCTCTCTTCATCCTAGGGCAACCCAAGGAGGAACGGTGAAGGGAGCAACGTGGGTTGCATGGCTTACAGGGGAGGAAAGGGCCCTGATTCCCTTCATTAGGCACAGCTGGGAAGGGAGTTTAAAAGAGATGCAAGCTGAGAGTGGCAGCTGCTGGGAGCAAACGTGACTTTATCTTGTGTTGACTTTGGATATCTGTATTCCTGGCGTCCTCCCAACCATGTTATTGTCTTGTCTTCACATCTGGAATTCTTGCTCCTGCCCTGCCGGACTAATTACCTCATTTGCCTTGTTTGGATTTATAGTTACAGTTTTTGTTGACCATGTTTTGGACTTGATTCCCTTCAGCCCAAGGCTGTTCCTGGGAGAGTTTTTCTCCAGCCCGGAAGGTAACCAGGACAGTGGGGGCCAAGTTGGAGCTAATAAAGGGACTCCTACTGATTATCTGACTGGGCTGTTTTTGTGCCACAACCCCCTTTGGTTCATCCCAATATATATTAATCTGACTTTGATGTTTTAATAGTTTTGAATGTCCATATTTTGTTGCTGATATGCTTATTATATCAGAGATCCCCAAACCCACATCCATGGGCTGGCCCCAGTCTGCAGCATGCCAGAAACTGGACCGCACAAACAAACCAAGTCCCATCCCTGGGATGCAGGCAGCACACAAAACCAACTCCCTCCAACTTTTCCCCCTGGAAAAACCTCTCTCCACGGAACTGGTCCCTGGTGCCCGAAAGTTTGTGAGACACATCGAACCTACATCCAGCCTACGAACCCCTCGGCCCCACAGCCAACCAGCGATGGCAATTGACCCACAACCAACCCACATATGCCCCTCCCAACCAGCCCTCCGTCCCTCAGTGACCCTCACCTGACATAAACCTCCCCATCACAAGAGTCATGATCACCTGATGTGACCCACACCTGATCCATCACAAGACCAACGGACCATAGATGCAGACATTCCTTAAATTCCGCTGAACATGTTGCCTAGCCTGGTCACAAAACAGAAAGCAAACCACAAGCTTGGAGAATGAACCTTCGCCCTCAGCTGCTGTATTATTATTATTATTATTATTATTATTATTATTATTATTATTATTATTAACCCCACAATCCTCTCCTTTTCCTTCTCTTCCTTCTCCACCTCCTTCTTTTCCTTCTCCTTCCTCTTTTTTTCCTTCCTCCTTCTCGTCTAGCACTGATGATATTCCCTAGTTGAGTCATGAAATGTCTCCAAGAACACAAGCTGAGAGAACACCGACCCCACAATCTCCTTTTCTTCCTTCTCCTTCCTCCATTTTCCTCCCTCTTTTTTCCTCCCTCTTCTTACACTGATGACGTCCCCTACTTGGGTCCCGAAACGTCCGCAAGAAAATCACCAAGCTGAAAACAAAACCCTCATTTCCACCCCGAGTGACGAAATAGTCTCCTTTATTGCCATTCACTGTTTCTAATGACTGAAAAAAAATGAAGGTTACTCACCTATCAGGAGCTCTGTGTAGCTTCTAACGTTGTCCCTACTCACATCTGGGGTTTAGGTAGTGAGGCACTTCCAACTAACAAGCATACATCTGGCTTTTTTTCCCCGGACTTCAAGCATTGCTCTCATCTCAGTCTTATAATTTTCAACTTCTCCAGACCACCGATGAACGGAAGAGGTCCGCTCAAGAGATGTGAGGAAATTATTTGCTTTTCTTGCAGGGCAGAACGAGTCCCTATTAACCAGGGAATCTCAGGAAAAGTCTGGATTTTCCCATTCAGGGTCTTCACTTCCTTCAGAGGAGAAAGAAAGACCAAGAGTGGCCTTGAAAAAGAAAACACAAGGGGGAAAAACCATAATCACAATCAACGCTTTTTCCCAACATTTATAAAAGTTTGCTAGGAATAAAGAAGTTGCAAAGAGGGTCCTCAACTTACAACGGTTCGTTTAGTGGCCAACGTTACAACGGCAGTGGAAAAAAAGTGACTTAGGATGGATTTTTCACACTTACCACCGTTGCAACATCCCCATGGTCACGTGATCAAAATTCAGCCACTTGGCAACTGGTTTGTATTTACAATGGTCGCAGTGTCCCGGGGTCAAGTGATTCCCTTTTGCGACCGTCTGACAAGCAAAGTCAGTGGGGAAAGCCAGATTTGCTTAACGACCATGTGACTAACTTAACAACTGCATGATTTGCTTAATAACTGTGGCAAAAAAATGGGGCAAAATTCCCTTAACAACCATCTTGCTGAACAATGGAAATTTGGGGTCCGTTGGGGTCGTAAGTCGAGAGCGGCTACCTGTATATAAAATATAAGGCCTCTGTAGACTTAAAAAATGAGTTGAGGGCGAATCGACAAACGCTGTTTTGAGAAAGCCAAGCTGAAGGAGTAAATAAATTCACATTAGCTGGGTGGTTTTGGGCCTGTCATTCTCGCTCAGCCCAGCGCACCTCTCGTTGTTGTTGTTCTGGGGAAAATACGAGGAGGAAAGTTCACCTCCTTGAGCGACTTGGAAAAATAATAAAGGCAGGATTCGAATTAAATAAAAACAAGAGAGGGAGGGAGGGAGGGAGGGAAGGGGGGGAGGAAGGGAGAGAAAAACACAAAGGAAAAGAAAGGAAGGAAGATAGAAAGGAAGAGGAAAGGAAGGAAGGATAAAGGCAGGATTTGAATTAAATAAAAACAAGAAAGAAAGAAAGAAAGAAAGAAAGAAAGAAAGAAAGAAAGAAAG